TTGTTCATGTGAATGTATGAAAGCAAGCATTATGTTTAATCTCATTTAAGTGGACACTGTAAACATTAATGAAACAGAACGATGATAACAGGTGCACCCACATATCACTTATATCCTCTTGCATAGAATTATATATTATACATTTATACATATATACATTATTGCAGTGGTTTATTGCAACAAATGAGTGCAGTCCAGGTGTTTGCTCCCATAACTACACACTTAGCATTATAAGATACAAGAAAGAGTGAAGTAGACAAAGTGAGACTCCAGTAGCCTATTTTGGCGAATGACAGAGCATTAATATCTCTGTGATAATTCCAGGTGTGTGTGGTGTGTTTGTTTGTGTATATGTGACTAGTATGTAGACAGAATCCTCAAGCAGTTCCTGAGCTGAAAATAAACACACACTCAGAGTCTTCAGCTCCTGACTCATCAAGTCTCCCACGGGAATAAATAGTGAATAGACCCTTAATGAAGTTCTCCTCTCATTGAGCCGTCTATCAGCTCTCTCTCTTTCTCAACCATTACTACCAAGGATCTTTCAGCTCACATACACGGTGCCCATGAGTCATTCTAAAAGCAGGGATGAAAAGAGGATGAGAAAAAGTTGTGGTTGCATAGAGGCAGAGGCAGATGTTGAAAACAGGAGCCGGAGGCAATATTGGAGGCAGTTTAGGGCAGCTCACACAAGAAGGCAGTCTCTGGAGAGACAGACATGGTGACATTGTCTTAGGCCTGTTTCACACATACTGTGAGTAGCACATATTCATTTTGGCATCTTAATAGTTTACAGCATTCACACTTAGAAGTATCTCAGACATGATTCTGAAAGTAGAGTTTTTGTATTATATTGGCCATCTGGCACATGCTGAACTCAGCAGAAAACACATTATAATGCACAGTTAACACTATGTTTTGAAAAAATAGGCTTTTTGAAGCAACATACTGTTCTTACCTATTATTTTAAGAAAAAAAATTCTGTTCAGTAAAGCCGGGCGTACACGGTGCGTTTTTTGCTGTCGTACAAGCTTGTACGCAATTTTTTTCCCATCGGGAGAAATCACGTGGATATCATTGCTGCTCGTATGGTCGTGGCTCGCATCATGTGAGAGGTATTTACGAGCTGAGCCGAGTGCCTCACGAGCTCCTGATCATGTCTCGTATCGATATTATGCGGTTATAAGAGAGAGAGAGAGAGCAGTTTTATTTAAATGTACTACATATAGGTTACACAGTTATTATACAGTTATACAGTAAACAGTTATAGGTTACACAGTTATTATACGCTGCCCTTCTCTCAACTCAGTTCAATGCATGTCATTACATCAGGGGACTTCATGCAATTGCTTCGTAATTCAGCAAGTCATAAAATCGTGTCGTATATCACTGTGTCCATACGATTTTCAGATAAAATCACTCGTGACATGTGCGTGGACATATGATCCTCCAACCATCAGAATTTGCACCGTGTATGGCCGGCTTAAATCTGGCAGAATCCAGATGATTTAAACAGTTAATAGCCACAGTTTTGGGTTTGAATGAAGTTCAGTGTAGTTTAGTTACCTAATTTATCTTTGGTCCCGTTCCTTAAGTAAATTTTTAAACATAATCAGGTTTTTAATAATTCTTCCAAGGGCTGCATAATTAATCATATTTTAACTGTGGTCACGATTTCTGCTTCTTGATTAAGCATAATCGCCTGCAATATAATTATCAGTTTAACGATTATCGTGTAGCCCTAATACTTCTGATAACCAGTTTATTCTTTATGGCCGTTATTAAAGAAAGTAGTGTGTGTTAATAGGTCAGGAAACAGAAAAGTGAAAGTGATAACATATTCAACTTCTCTTCTCTGTCTACATGGCATCACTAGGTTCTGTCATTCAGAAACATGGCTTTTCATATCACTGCTGTGCTGATGACACTCAACTCTACCTCTCATTCCATCGCATCTCCGCATGTCTAACAGACATTTCTTGTTGGATGACGGGCCATCACCTTCAACTCAACCTGGCTAAGACAGAACTGCTTGTGGTTTCAACAAACCCATCACTTTATCAAAATTTCACCATCCAGTTAGGCTCATCAACCATAACTCCTTCAAAAACAGCTAGACACCTTGGAGTTGTGATTGATGATAAGCTGAATTTCTCAGACCACATTGCTAAAACTGCCCGGTCCTGCAGATTTGCTTTATACAACATTAGGAAGATCAGGCCCTTTCTTTCAGAACATGCAACACAACTCCTGTTTGATGTCATACGCCGATCGTTCTGTGAAGTGCCGAAGCATCTCGAACAAGAGAGAGGGAGAGGTGGTGGGGGGATGGGATCTCGCGAGAAAGTTGTCAGCACAATTAAAGTGGCTGCATTTTTTTTTTTGCTAAATGTCAGTGCAAAATTGTGTACAAATGCAGGAGTGTCGGAATTTTTAGATGTTAAGTAATCCAAGTGTCAAAACAACAACAAAAATAATTTTAAAGACACATATGTGCACTATATATATCCATGTAATCACCCTATATGGGATTAATTATGTTTGCACTTGTATATTTGATAAAACAAATAGGGTCCCATGTGTAGCCCATTTTGAGCCCATGCACAAATTTCCCATTAATTACCCAACTAGGAACCACATGGGGAGCCCACCTGGGTTCACCCATGTGGGTCCTAGCTGGGTCACCCAAGTGGGCCCCAGATAAGATGCCCATTTTATGCCCATGCCCACTCTGTACCCCTGTAGCCCATGTGAAACCCATTTGGGCCCCACATTAACGTGTTTGCTGGGTAACATGTCCTGCAGATTTTTTGCTGCAAAGTTGAATGAAAACTTTACAGACAATGTAACCACCCAGCAATGCGTTTGGGGTCGGTTAGATTTTTTATGCCTCTTATGCTCACCCTAGCAACCATTCAGTACAACACCCTGGCAACCATCCAGAGCACCCAGGAGTCATGGTGGCAAATTTTGCATGGGCTCTTTTGACCTGGATCAATACGAAACACCAACACCCTGGAAACTATATAGCAGTGTGTTAAAATCACATAGGACACCTTAGAAACCACATAGCAGCACCTTGGCAACAACCCACAATGCCCTAGCTTCATGATGATGCATTTTTACACAGGTAAGCACCACTAACATTTTCTTATACATTTCTTAACACTGGTTGACAGGTGTGTGAACCAGTGTTTTCATTTTCATTTTAGTTTAGGTTTTAGTCATTTTTTTTCATGTGCTTTTGTCATTTTTATTAGTTTTTGTTTTATATATATATAGCATGAATAATACAGTTTTTAGTTTTCACGGATCCGTGTGGGATCATTTTGACAACATGTTTGTGTACATGAAACTTTTCATAAATGCAAAGAAAAATCTTTTCCATTTTCAGTACATTGTTGTCGTTCAAATATACCCTGAGAGGTGCACGCAACTCTAGTTTAAAAGAGTATGAAGACATTCTTATGGAGAGAAATAGCGCAGACACTGGACAAAGGTGATATATTGCATGTGTTCATGCATGCTGTCAAATAAGTATACCTTGAAAGGCTATTTTTTTTAATTATTATGCACGCATCAAGTGTTTGTTTCAAAACTGAAGTAAACTTGGGCTTTATTGGTAGTGGAAAGCAGCCGACATTGCATGTGAGACTGAGAGTTACTGGCCTTTCCATATGTATGGCCTTTATATACACACACACACACACACACACACATATATATATATATATACATATTTCTATTTAGCTTTAGCAACATTTCTTATTTTTTAAAGTTTTAAAGTTTTTAATCTAATATGTATGTTTTATTTTATTTCAGCTTTTTTACATTTAGTTAAATACAACAGCAGCACATGTATGAACAGACTCAGTGTTCACGTGTTGCTTGAGTTTAATGTTCAGTATAATACTCCATGACCTGTCACTGTCAATGACTGGTGTCCTTTCGGCAGCCAGACTCTTACTGAGTTGTCAAACAGTGTCAATTTATGTACATGACCTCTGAACGCCACTCCTGACATTTTCACCAGGCAACCAAACAATATGTACCTGCTTTGTGACGTTCATGGCCCTCTGGATTAAACAAATATATGTTTTTAGTGCAAAAGACACAAATGTTGGTTACACAGGCAATTCAGGTTTTATTTTTACCTTTGCCATCTCTCAATGTGCCTTTCTGTTCATCAATAAACTGACACTGGAGCAAACCACAGCCCAGCATGCCCCTGTCGCTTGGTTACCGTGCAGCTGCAGGTTGCCACAGAAACAGGCTTATCAGTGCGAGGCACATACAGTTGTGAGTACTGGTGCTATAGTTCACCTGTGCTGGTCCCAGTACTTTACTCCTGTATCTCTGATTGACAAATCACATGGCCATATGGTTAGTGTCAAAAGCCCAGTCATGGAGCCAGCTTGATATTTCTGGCTCTGTCAGGATTGGGTTACAAAGTAATTTTATAAGCATTTAACTCATCCTGCACCCTAGCAACCATTCAGAACACCATAGCGACCATATAGCAATGCCCTGGGCACCCTTGCATCGTGGTAATGAGTTTTGCACTTGCGAAAAATGTTCAAATCTAGTTATGAAATACAAATGCAAAATAATTTACTGTATGTCTATGTTCACTGCTGTGTTTCTAAAGCTGAATGTGTTGATGTGCTTATTATTACTGAGTCCATTAATTTATAATAATAACTGCAGTTACGGAAATGGTGATTGATAACATTAGACTCTGAGTCTTGATTGGATACCATAAGGGTAATGACTGAGTTTAATTAAACATCCAGTATAGAATTTTGCTTGGGGATGTGAACTAAACCAAAGAAGAATTTATTTCAGACTTCAATGAGATAAAGTGTAATTTAAATCAACTGTTTTCTTTTAATTGTACATTCAGTAGCTAATTTGCATCCTTTACTTGAGTGTTAAACTAAAGTTGGAACCCAAGTTTTGTGAACTACTGTGGTTAAACTGATATTAATGTTCCTCTGCAGATAACCAGTTCAGAATGTCCATCCTGGAGCGGCTGGAACAGATGGAGCGCAGGATGGCTGAGATGGCTGGTCAGCAGCAGCAGGGCAGCGGAGGAACAGCAGGGACTGGAGGGGGAGGTGGAGACGGAGGCGCCAACAGCCAGTCTCAGGTATAGCTGCACATCAGTAATTGTTATGTATGAGATTAGAATGTATTTTAAAACAGCAACACAAATGCTCAGTCATATTTTAAAGTCTTTCTGTCATAGTACTCAAATAAAATTTTAAAAATGCAAATAATTCCTGTAATGGCAAAGCTGACTTTTCATATTGCTATTATTATAAATTTTGCAAAGTTTTTGCTCCAATCTTTAATGATCCTTCAGAAATCATAAAAAGCATAGTTATTTAAAACCTAAATGTAATTTGGATTTAAAATAAACAATATTAAAATTCAGTTACTTCACCTGGCTGAAAAGGTTTGCATTTTTATCAACATGGTGTTTATTAACATTGCTTTTGTGAGTCAGTTAAACAAATTCATTCAAACGATTTGTTCACTAGTTGTATATCACTGCAGCTTTTCTACTCATGAATTATAGCTTTCAGTTTGAGCCATAAAAACTATTACAGAAAGCAGTGGATTGTGACAGTTCATTGAGTTTGTGAAGATGTCAGGCCCTCCATTTTCTTCTGCAGTGTATCTCGGGACAAGCAGGAAGCTCTTTTGAGAGTCGTGTGGTGGTTGTTTGTGAGAAGATGATGAACAGGGCCTGCTGGGCCAAATCCAAACATCTGATCCACTCCAAGACCTTTCGGGGCATGACCTTGCTACACCTTGCTGCAGGCCAAGGCTACGCCACCCTCATTCAGACTCTTATCAAATGGCGGTGAGTTAAGAGCACTTAGATCTGTCTACATCTGTGTAAATATGTTTTAGCTGATTTGGTGTTATTTCCCCTGTCACTGCTAAGCATGAGAAATGGCATTTGTTGTCTTACCCAGCACGAAGCATGCAGACAGCATTGATCTGGAACTTGAGGTGGACCCTCTCAACGTGGATCACTTCTCTTGTACTCCACTGGTGTGTTCCTCAAGCAATTTTAATTGAACTTAGTAATCTTAGTAAAAAAAAATTTGCTTTTCCCACACCCATTTTTCTCTGCTTCATTGTTGTAGATGTGGGCTTGTGCATTGGGTCACCTAGAAGCAGCTGTGGTCTTGTACAAGTGGGACCGGAGAGCACTGGCCATCCCAGACTCTCTAGGGCGCCTGCCCCTCTTCATCGCCCGCTCCCGTGGCCACACCAAGCTGGCAGAGTGTCTGGAGCAGCTCCAGAGGGAGGAACAGCAGCAGCAGCAGACCCCGTCCTCCTTACCCCCAACCTCTAGCATGTCTTTCTCTCCCAATCCTGACATCCCCACCTCTAACAGCTGGATGGTGAGCTGGGGCAGCGACAGTATGGTGGCCCCCAGCGGGCAGAACACTGGTACAGCCACCACTACTACAACCCCTTGCACCAACCAGAACCCTGGTGAGAACCTCTAAAGTAGTTAGCTACTCTGTAAGCTGCTAACAAAAAGTTGCCAAATGCATGCAAGCTATTTAAAGGGATAGTTCACCCAAAAATGAAGACAAAGTTCAACAAAAAAAACGGGATAACGGAATAACGGAAACAAAAACATTAGTGAACGGCAGCATTTAACCAAACAATTTGCTATAGAAAAGATGAGAAATTCCAGGGACATCTGCACTCATCTTTTTGAACTAGTTCATTTACACATCTGAATGAACTAATTCACTAAAATTAATCAGACTTTCCAGCACTACATATGAGACAGATAGGGGGCATTTTAGGAGAGCTCACTAAGTTGAAAAGGCTACCTGTTGAAAAAAACGCTGCTTGTAGCTTATTACTGGAAAAGCTGCACGATAAATCGCATGCGATATTTAATGCGCATCTTGTCAGAAAGCCAGTTCTGTAATCAGCGGTAAATCTCCATCACCTGCGGGCTTTCAGCATTAAATATCGCATGCGATTTATCGTGCAGCCCTACTGCACTATTTAGAAAACAGATGAACTTGCTTTACTAAAAAGATTATAGCAGATTTGCTCGCTTAATGTAATACCTTATTACTTTTGCTTCAGTGAGCAGTACTTGCTGCACAATCTAATTCCAACTGTCTTATTTTTTTAGATTATCACTTATAGCACCTCAGAGAAAGAGCAAATGTAATGGAAATATCATATCCATCCACTCCTCTGAGTGCAACTCACTCTATCTTTTTCTTTTGTGCCTAGATTTGAGAAGACCAAGATCAGAGCCCTCTAGCTACTACAGCAACGAGTGCCAGCGGGACCTCCCCCTCGCCAAAAAACACAAGCCCAACCCCGAGTTTGTGCAAGGACAGATGGATAAGCCCATGTCTGTTTCCTTGAACATGGAGCAGCAGACACATAAACTGTCAACCAGCCCTAAGGCCCTTCCTTCCACCCCATCCAGCCCGGATAAGAGTGTCTCTGAGGAGGGTTTGGCGACAGTGGGCATCCTGCAAGCCAAGATGGCCTCTTACTGTGGAGGCCATAAATGGGGCACTAGAGAAGTGCTCAGGAAGAGTGGCATCAGCGGCATAGGGAAGGAGAATTTGGCCAGCCGGTTGCGACAGCGTGGCAAACCCCTCAGCATGCTGGGAATGGTGGAGAGAGAGATGGTAGACACTGAGATACTTTCTTACAAGGAGGATCTAGAGAACCAGGACTGCCTCTCGCACATGGAGGACCTGCAGGTGAGAGAACTGCACATAAACAAACGCACACAGTGCCCTAAATGGCACCCGCTCACAGTCAGCCAGCCTCATTTACACCTGTACTGAATGATACATTTTTCAGTAAATAGACTCTGAAAACAAACACAGCTACAAGCGTAGAAAGGCCAAGGGAGATATAGAGCACCATCCGTCCTGCTGACATGTGAAATCAGTGCTAGAGAGCGGCGGCCGCAGCCCCACTCTCTGCCGAGACCTTCGTCACCACATAATACACTTCTTCCATTGATTTGCTCCCATCGCCAGGAGTTAGTCCAGCCCCATTCATCTCTGTCACTCTATGGGGATAGAGGGTGTAGCGAATCAGCTCATAAGGGAAATATGAATAATTAATCATAACTAGTTATAATTAATTATAAATATTTAGATCCGCTGTAGATATTTACTTGACCTCTCAGGGTCAACTGTCATCAAATGAAAAATTGTGTTTTTGATTGGTCCAGATGCTACAAGGGGCTGTAGCAGCGTGTTCCTCCAAAGTAAACATCCTGGCGCTCGATTGATCTGACGGGTTAGCGAGTATATGTGTGCATTTTGTCACAACAGAAAGTCTGTGCTTGTGCAATGCTGAATGCATGTGTTTGTACGCCTCGCAGGCGAATATGATGAGCCTGGCAGAGCACATCATTGAGGCCACTCCGGAGCGTATCAAGCGGGAACATTTTCCAACCGTGGAGTCTGTTCCTCTGGACAACAGTGGGCTCACCAACACCATGTGCTGGCTAGCCAGTTACCTGGGAGACGTGGAACACCTGCCCAGCATCATCCACTTGAGGTTAGTGGACATCATTACTTTAATATACATATGTACTGGTATGCAGCGACCAGAGTGGAAAATTTACTTTATGCCCAGCAGCCACAGTGGTTGGTGAATGCGGAATTTACTAGCTACTCTTTTGTCAATTCAAAAATATATTTAGAAAAAAGTATTTTCAATATTCAAAAAATATTAGTATTTTTCAATTCAAAACTTTTTTTCAATTCAAAAATATATAACAGCTCACTATGTATGTGAAAGGTCTGTGAATAAATGCATGAAGCATTAATATTGTTAAGCATTAAGCAAAAAGTGAACTAAGTGAATGATGTAGATGTAGTTCTAACTCTTTTTTGAAAATTAAAAAAAAATAATAATAATAAACCTTTTAAAGAATTAATGACAGAGTGAGAACATAACAAAAAATACTTAAATGTTAAATATATACAAATATTTTAATCATTTGAACTTTGTTAATTAAAGAGCACTGAAAAATGTATCACGGTTTTCACAAAAATATTAAGCAGTGCAGTTAATGTTTTCAGCAATGTTAATATGTTTTCAGCATTGATAATAATAACAACTGTTTATTGAGCTCCAAATCAGCATATTAGAATCTTTAGATATTTCTGAAGATCATGTGACACTTAAGAATGTAGTAATGACTGCTGAAAATTCAGGAATAAATTACATTTTAAAATATAATAAAATAGAAAACAATTATTTAAATTCTGTTTTTACTCTTGATGTTTTGTTTGCCTGTTTGTTTTTGTTTTTTGTTTTTTTTATCAAAAAAAATAATAATAATAATCAGCCCTGGTGAGCATAAGAGACTTCTTTCAAAAACATAAAAAATCCTACCAGGCCTCAAACTTTTGAACAGTAGTGTATATATATGATTTTTGCAACATATGACATATTTTTCTCTAAATAATAATCCTATTAATCCTACCTACGAACATTCAGCTACGTTTTGAACATCAAAAATCAGTCTTTGAACAGCAGCCAAAAATGTTTGTAATTGCACAAATGTCAAAGTAAAGTGAACCTGCTGTTTTTAATTTCCCATCCTGGCGATGATGTGTTTAAGGAAAAACAAAATGTATGTCTAGACCCTGCTAACTCCATGTATGTATGTATGTATGTATGTATGTATGTGTGTGTGTGTTTTGTTTCTTTGAGCAGTCCCATATACAGTGAACCCCTGACCCCTCCCTCCAACCCTAGCCTGAGCCCGGGTAACTCGCCCATGCGTGAGGGCCCATTTGAGAAGCCGACCTTGCCTGCTCCATCCGAGTGGAGTGAGTTTCTCCGAGCCTCCAACAGCAAAGTGGAGAGAGAGCTAGCCCAGCTCAAAATGTCTGATCCCGAGCAGAGGGAGCTCTACGAAGCTGCACGGCTGGTGCAGACCGCTTTCCACAAGTACAAGGTACAGGCCAGGGGCTCGGGTGCCATGCGCTTGTGTTGATGTGTGAATAGAGACAGGATGTAAACGTCTATGCACAGGTATTGGTAGGAACGAACACGGGACACCCTCTGTCTCCTTCCTGCTTTGTCCTTCCTTATGAGTTCATAAACACACAGGCACAGAGTAGTCAGTCCCCACAACTTCAGCATGGGTAAGGTGGCTTAACCAGCGCATGGCCTGGCTTATTATAAGGAGCGATTGCTGTCTCCTGTGGCTGCTTGAAATGAGTTCCCACAAAGATTCACCAGCTGGCCAAACTGACGCTTGTGCTCAGAGGCGTCTGCTCTCTCAGCACCAGATGCAACCAAGCGTGAAGGGTGTCTTTTCTCTATCACTTTCATTCTCCTGTAAGTAAACAGCCTAGTGGGCGTCTCCCAAGTGTTGCCCGCTCCTCAGACTAACCCATTTCCCTCACTTCCTGCAGGGACGCCCACTGCGCGAGCAACAGGAAGTAGCCACCGCTGTCATTCAGCGCTGTTACAGGAAATACAAGCAGGTAATCCTTTAAGATGCTCTGACATTGCTTTTACAACCTTTGCTGGATGTCTGGTTAATATGTCAAGCTCCAGTAAATGCAGTTGAGTCAATTATAAGGCCTGCTGTAGAGAGAATTGTTGTTTAAAAGCTCTTGGAGAGCTCTTAGTGCAAGGTCACACGGTTTTCCATTCATGACAAATCTATTTTTCCCCCTTGCAAGCTAACATGGATAGCCTTGAAGGTAATTTTTTTAGGTTGATTGTTCATGCATTATTTAAAGCAGATTTTCTTTTGTCTGCACAAATATTAAAATTGATTTAATGGCAATGGCCACTTACACACTGTGTCATTCGCACATTTTGATGCAAGTAGTTGCAAGGGACGCTCCATATACTGTCGACTAAAGAGGACGATCTCGCTAGACCAGTGGTCACCAACGTGGTGCCCGTGGGCACCTGGTAGCCCACATGGAGTCTCTGAGTCGCCCGCAAAGCACGTTCTATAAATAGCCTAAATTAGCGTCGGGCGATAAATATCATATCGAGATTATGATCAAATTTATGTTAATGATGATAAGCTCTGGACATTTTTACTCAAAATGGATTAATCTAACATTCTATCACACAACAGAAATAAATGTTACAGCAACCAGTCAGTGCATGTCGCTAATAAGTCTGCATGTTCTGTGTGCCTGTGTGAATGCGTGGAGTAGTTTCATCTGATACACAAACTCAAACACACGTGACTCGCGGCGTTTTCAGCATCTGCGTCTCAATATATGAGGACATGAACACATGCACTTCATCTTCAGAGCTGCTCTGAGAGTCACTTCACCAGCTTTATGCAGTTTCATTTGAGAAAAAATACCATCAAATACACGCTGAAACTAAAAAGTCCTTCATGACAAACCGTCAAAATAAAAGTCCGGTTTAACGTGAAATTATGACAACCAAGTTATTTTTTATTATTATTAATTTATACAGTTCTGTTGTGCAGCATCATGTCTGATCAAATTAAATAAAAAAAATAAAAATGCAATGTTATGATTTTCATTTCATTACATTTTAAAAGATTGATTAAATTGTTAACGTTTTATTAATTCATTTCACTAGACACCATTTTTTATGATAAATTTGTACTGAATCTCCCTTCAGGGAGCCCTCACTCACAAAAAGGTTGGAGACCCCTGCGCTAGACCAAGGGTTTTCAGATTGTTACTGGAGACCCCCAGATGGCTGCAAGAGTGTTTAGGGGGTCCACAGAAAATATGAGAGGGTACAAAATGCAAATGAGAAATACAAAATGTATTTCAGAGCTGTCACAGTTAACTGTAAATCAGAAAACTGTAAATTCAATAGAACAATATTCATTGTAAAAAGCACTATAAACATACATTTGAATCTAATAGTTTATCTTCAGGTTTATGCATCTAATATTACATAATAATGGGTTGAACTTAATACAAAGTCAATATTTTCTAGATCATATTTTAGTCATCTGCATTGGCTTCAGAGTAACAATACAGAAGTCAATATTTTAATTTTGGAAACAATATGTTGCCTTTATATTAAGCTTTTTGTCTCACATTTTACGATTATCACTCTGTCAATCATTGCAATTTAGGGAGTAACTCATAAACATACTGCATATTGGTGTGATAATTTAGAGGTTTACACTTAAAGGGATAATCCACCCAAAAATTCTGGCATAATTTACTCACCCTCATGTTGTTTAAATGTGGTTGTCACTTTCTAAATTTTACAGTGTGTATCTGGCCAATGTGAGGTGAATAGGGAGCAATTAAATTTTTGTCATTAATGTTTCTATTAATGTCTGTTTATATATCAGTATGCACTTTATAAGAAGATGACGCAGGCCGCCATCCTTATCCAGAGTAAGTTCCGCAGCTACCACGAGCAGAAGAAGTTCCAGCAGAGCCGGCGGGCGGCCGTGCTGATCCAGCAGTGCTACCGCAGCTACAGGAAGTTCGGCCGGCTGAGGCCCCACCGCAGAGCGGCCACCGCAGCAAAGGTCCAGCACAAACTCAGGTAGCACTCAATACACTGCCCTGTGATTAATCACTCCCTCTTAATTTGGTCCAAATCTGATTCCAACTGGTGTTTGTTGTTTTGTACTCAGCCAATAGCTCTTATGAATCTGTTCCAAGTGGCATACTGTTCTGAGCTTTGCCCTGCAAGATATTTCATCCATGTACAAGATGTAATGTGCAAAATTAAATGTGTTTAATTGCGATGTTTCTGTTTCAGAAGCAGTCTTCTCACTAAGAGGCAGGATCAGGCCGCCCACAAGATCATGAGGTTCCTCCGCCGTTGCCGCCACAGGTATTCTCCCACTGCCACATCGCTCCCTACTGGCCATGCCATTCATCCGCTACCTGAAACACTGCTGATACAAATGTGACACTTGGAAAGCTTCATGTTTTGTTTCCATCTTTTTTTTTTTTTTTGGTGTTAAAACGGAAATTATTTTTTTCTTTTTTTTTTTGGTGTTAAAACGGAACTTATTTTCTTCCTTGAAAGTGTGATTCATTAATCATGTGTTAATCACTCACTAGTGGTTTAGTGAGAGGTGCCCCTCCCTTCCCTTGGCTCTTTTTCCTCGCCCTCCTTCTCCATCATGATATCTGCTGTGTGCTAATAGCTGTCTGGTGTTGTTTTGCTGTTAATGCAAAGCCCCTTGATGGACCATAGACTATTCAAGCGGGTGAGTGCAGCCTCAGCGATTCAGTATGTCTCCCTTTTCTCTCTCTCCTCTCTCTCTCTCTCTCTCTCTCTCTCTCTCTCTCTCTCTCTCTCTCTCTCTCTCTCTCTCTCTCTCTCTCTCTCTCTCTCTCTCTCTCTCTCTCTCTCTCTCTCTCTCTCTCTCCCTCTCGCTCGTCACACACACACACAAAGACCACCTTCCCATCCTCTCTTGCTTCTTCTTGCCCTCCTTCATCACCACTGCTTGATGCCTGCTTGCATGACAGCTACCAACTGGACGCAGAGATGACTGAGATCAAGGGCCTCAGCATATGATCGGCCTCAGGATATCGGTTGTGTCTTGCTATACACTAACCACTGAGACACTACATTAAACAAGCACATTTTTCTCCTGTCTTGATTATTTAAGTTTCCTTTACTTCCTGTATTTGTAAAGAGGAAAAGATAAGATAGACGGAAGAACAGAAGGTTGTTTGGTTTAAACGATGTTGCATGAATATATGATAATGAGTCTTGCTCTTTGACCATGAGGCATGCTGGGAAATATGTGACCCAGAGAAAACTGGGTTTGGTTCTGACTAGTTCAGCTAAAGCCTGTTTTATTGCACATGCTGCCGTGGGAACTGACTGTCTATCGGTCCATCTCTCTTTAACTGTTTGGTAGTAGATATGATATCTGTATACAAAGAAAGCATAGTATAAAAGCTAAGTTGGTCGCATTACCCTGTGCAAATGTCACCTGTATTTCATCAGATGTTGGAGCAACATGTTTCAAAAGGACGTAGACGTAGACAGAATAATCAGCAGACAGCTTTAGTTTCTTGTCAGAAGCGATGAGATGAGAAGGTTTCGACTGATTTTGTATTAAATGAAATGCAGACTATTTTAAGCTTTTTGTCCTATATATCTACTTAGTGCAGAAACTTACAAGGTGAGGCAATGAAGAAAATGGGGCAAATCATCAGTGAAGAACTTGTGCATAGAGCACTGGCCAGAAGAGTGTTCTTTCAAGCTTTATTTTTTGTTTCCATCTTTTTTTTTTTTTTGGTGTTAAAACGGAACTTATTTTCTTCCTTGAAAGTGTGATTCATTAATCATGTGTTAATCACTCACTAGTGGTTTAGTGAGAGGTGCCCCTCCCTTCCCTTGGCTCTTTTTCCTCGCCCTCCTTCTCCATCATGATATCTGCTGTGTGCTAATAGCTGTCTGGTGTTGTTTTGCTGTTAATGCAAAGCCCCTTGATGGACCATAGACTATTCAAGCGGGTGAGTGCAGCTTCAGCGATTCAGTATGTCTCCCTTTTTTTCTATCTCTCTCCCTCTCGCTTGTCACACGCACACAAAGACCCCCTTCCCATCCCCTCTTGCTCCTTCTTGCCCTCCTTCATCACCACTGCTTGATGCCTGCTTGCATGACAGCTACCAACTGGACGCAGAGATGACTGAGATCAAGGGCCTCAGCATATGATCGGCCTCAGGATATCGGTTGTGTCTTGCTATACACTAACCACTGAGACACTACATTAAACAAGCACATTTTTCTCCTGTCTTGATTATTTAAGTTTCCTTTACTTCCTGTATTTGTAAAGAGGAAAAGATAAGATAGACGGAAGAACAGAAGGTTGTTTGGTTTAAACGATGTTGCATGAATATATGATAATGAGTCTTGCTCTGAGGAATGCTGGGAAATATGTGACCCAGAGAAAACTGACTGCCTCTCTGGCTTGTGTGTTTTCGTTCTGATTAGCTCAGCTAAAGCCTGTTTTATTGCACATGCTGCAGTGGGAACTGACAGTCTACAGTATCTGTCTATCTCTCTTTAATTGTTTGGTTGTAGATATGATATCTGTGTACATACATATCAAAGCATAGTACAAAAACTAAGTTGGTCTATATTTCATCACATGTTTGAGCAACACATTTCAAAAGGAAGTAGACAGAATAATCAACAGACAGCTATAGTTTCTTGTCAAAAGCGACGAGATAAGGTTTCAGACTGATTTTGTATTAAATGAAATGCATACTATTTTAAGCTTTTTGTCCTATATATCTACTTACTTTTTGTCCTATATATCTACTTACTTTTTGTCCTATATATCTACTTA